TTTACCATCTGAGTTAGGAATAAAATCACCAAGTAACCCGAGGTGATGCACATCAGCCAAAACCAGTATGTCAGCCTCCAGTTCCTCAGCAGCCCTGGCCACAGCGTTAGCCAAGATGGTCATTTCAGTATTTTTCCTTTCCATTCCCCACAGCACAGCAAAAGCCTTGGATCTCCAGAAGCATTTAAAAACCCCGGCTAGGAGGTTATCTCCTGGAGAAGCCAGAAAGGTACGTGTTAGATTTGTATCTGCTACTTCAGCAAATCCTGCTCTTTCTTCCTTGAATTTGGTGCACAGAAAACCTTCATTCAAGCTCGAGGATGCCTTGGGTTCCTCCTTGTCCTGGTGTCAGTGAAAGCAGAATGTAGTCCTTGATGTTGTAAAAGTCTTATTATTTTGTTTCACAAAGTAGAAATTTTCTTCTGGGAGCAAAGCCTAAAATTTTAGTTGAATAAAAATTTCTGGAAATTCCATGTGCTCATGGAAGATCCTTATGGTTTCAAACACAGAAGTGGGCTCCTGGCCTGATTTGTTTTCACCAATAGCTTTTGCATCCAGCCTGGCAGGATCCCTCCTCTCCTCTCTCCCTGCTCTCCCACATTGTGTGTTTAATAAATGCAAACCACAAATTGGATTTACACGGTAATCGCCTCTTTACACCCCACCGTGTGCCTCTGCCAGTAAGTGGGATGGAAACCCGCTTTCAGATCTTTGGCAGGCTTGGGAGTTTGGGGGAAAGCTGATTTGGGGAGATTAAAATGTTAACCAAGAACACCTGGGGTGGGTTGTTTGGGGTTTCTTTGGATTCTTGTTCCTCCTGCTTTTTGGAATCAAGAGCTTCAGCTTCTAAAAGACTCACAGGGATTAATATGTAGCAGGGCAACTTGGGGGTTTGTAGGTGAGGTAAAAGCTGACCTGACCTCGACGTCTTTCCCATTTCAGCTGTGTTTCGCGCTGAGCGTCCTGGGCGATCCGACGGTAATGCTCTGGGATGAGCCCTCGGTGGGCATGGACGTGACGGGGCAGCGCCGTATGTGGTGAGCAGCCCCGTTTTAGCAGAACTGAGACGGGTCTAACAGGTTAAACAGGGGTTGGCCTTACCCTCGCAACTGTAGTAGCCACTGGGCAAGCCAAGAGGTTCTGCCCTGGTGGCAGAGCACATCTGTATTTTCCCTTTTTCCTAATGCACAGGGGATTGGGTGCCTCTTGCTAAACCCCTTACTCAGCAGACAGTGAGTCCTTGCTAACCATCAGATTTAATCTTAACGTAATACACCCCAAAAATGTAATCAGACTCCGGCTGAACCCATGCATTTGGTACAAAAGACAAAAATTCCTGTTTTCCTCAGAGCATGAGGAAAAAAAAGTATGGGTAGTTCTTCCTTTTCATCCCTTAGCCCTAGTGCTTCTTGCTTCTCATCAACCGTGTACACCGAAAGTGCAAAATCTGGAGGGGAGCTGACATGACAAATTGCAACACAACATTGGCGCCTGCATGTAATCTCTAAGCAGGATAACTGAAGTCTTTTGAATAGCCATCCACTTTTTTATAATTTTATCATTTCAGTTGGGTTTTGGGGGCAGGGCGGGGGGGACATAAACCAGGAGGTTTTCTTTGGCTCTTCCTGGGAAGTAAATGCCATCCCTCTGTTCCCAGGAAAGTGATTCAGACGGCCACAAAAGGCAGGGAGCGGGCAGCCATCCTCAGCACGCAGTACCTGGAGGAGGCAGCGGCGATGTGCGACCGGGTGGCCGTCCTGGTGTCGGGGCAGCTACGGTGGGTGCCAGGGTCGCATCGCTCGGTGGGATGCCACCTGATTTTTAGTCTCGTTTTTTTTCTTCTGTTTGCTTTGGGTTTTGTTGTTTTCTTTTTGTTCTTCATCTAATAGAAGATGTTGGCTTGGTTTGTCCCAAGGGTGTAACAAACATAGTTTAGTGAGGAGGTAGGTTGTTTCAGCAGCACAGCACAAACAGATGATGAACAAGAGGGCGTACATCTGCTGCTCATACCCAGTGATTGCTTTATTTGCTGCTTATGATGACTTGAGCACTCTTTTCCCTCCTCTGCAGGTACATCGGTTCCCTTGAGGATCTGAAAAATAAGTTTGGCACAAGTTACCACCTGGAAGTCAAAACGATGGACATGGGGCAAAGCGATGATCTCCACAACGAAATCCTGCGCCTCTTCCCTCATGCAGCTCGACAAGAAAGGTCACTGGGACCCTCTGTTGCTCCTCCTGACCTTGCCCAATAATTTACCTGGGAGCACAGGAACACTATAAGCACCCCTAAACCTTGGTGCTGACTCACAAAATGATAAATTCTTTTTTTTTTTTTTCATTACTTTTTCAGGACTGCTTCTTTGCTCATCTACAAGATACCAATGGAAGATGCACTACCTCTGTCCCAGTCTTTCTCCAAGCTAGAAGCAGGTAAAAGGAAACAATCCATTAAGTATGAAGATGGCTTTCAAGTTGCTCATATGGCTTTGGTTTTTAAAGATGACTTTTCCATCCCCCCACAGCTAAACAGAATTTCAGGCTCGAGGAGTACAGCTTGTCACTGCACACTTTGCAACAGGTATGTTGATGTAGAAGTTACAGGTTAGAAACTGCCTCTATAAAAAGAAGAAATACCCCGTGGCCAGCATAAATACTGTCAGTCCTTGGCAATAACGGGGTTGTTCCTGCTGTGGCACATTGCAGGTGTTTGTAGACCTCACCCGGGACCTGGAGGAGCACGACCTGGATGCAGCATCCGACAGGGCTGTGGAGCAGAGACCGCTTCACCCCTGAGCCCTTGGAGCCACAAAGGAAAATATTCAGTGTATTTTGTCAGTGTTACTGATATGTGTGATCGGATGCAGCCCTAGGACTTGGTTACCTGTGTCACATCACATCCAGCCTTGTAGGTTTTCTGCCTCACAAAGAAAAAAAGAATTATTATTTTAATAAATAAAGCCTTTATCCACCTGCCATTCATCTGTACTGACTCATGAGGATTTGCTGTGCTGAGGAATAACCCCGCGGGGATGAGCTGCTGGTCCCAGGGCAGGCAGGCACAGGAGCTGTGCAGGGGGGGCTGTTGTGGGGAAAAAATCATGTGCAAACTGAGAGGAGGCTCTGGAACCCTCACTCATCCATGGCAGGAGGACGCCAGAGCCCTGGCTCGCTCAGTCCTGAGAAGCATCCTTCCAGCTGCTGGCAGGGTGGTGCTTTCTGGTGGAGGGGCACAGGGCTGTGTTTTGACCCCAAAATCTGCTGTCGCCCCAGCTCAGCGCCTTGGCCCACCTCTGGTCCCCACCACTGGGGACACAGAAAGAAAGCGCTCAGCAATCCCTGGAAAAATGTAACGAAAACTGGCAGCTCTTAGATCATCATCTTTCAAAAGAAAAAAAAAAATTATCTGGAGTCAAAATAAGGTTTGCTTTGACCTAAAGTAAAGCTGGAGCAGGACAGTAGGTTGGACAGGTCTTCTGGCCACAGCACATGTGTTTGACTTGCTTTGGTGGTTGGGAAGATGGGGTGGGCTCCTCACTAGCACCGATCCTCTGTGGGTGCTTGGGAGGGATGGGGGGGCTCTGGTGGGGAGATGGAGGGCTCTGGTGGGGAGATGGGGGCAAGCACCAGCATCCTGGCTCTGTCTCAGCAGGTCAACATCTGTTCTTGGACATCTGCCTGCCAGAGCTAGCTTTAAATAATACACTTAAAAAATTAAATAAAATAGAAACTCCCTACATTCAGGCAGCCAGGTGTTCCCCTGGTGTCACATCGCCCTGCTCCCCAGCACCCCCAGCCTGTGGGAATGGCTGGGGGCTCACTGGAGGGCCGGGGCAGGGCCTGCCCCC